CTTTTCGGCTCTACATTTTTCCCCTCTTACAACTACAAAAACTTGATGATGCGCACTTCTTCTCGCTTCACATCATGGAAAACGACAAGAAGTAGTTTTCACACAATCAAAACTCAAGTCCAGTTTTGAAGAATTTTAGGACTTCCGAGTATATTTTCCCATTTTGTTGTCCCTGGTGTGATAATTAGTGAGCATGTCACTTTTTTGAAATTTTCTGTGCTTGTAAATAAGAATACGAATTTTTCATGTGATTGTTAATCAATCAACAGAATTCTGAAAATTTCCAGATGATTTATTATGTCTCACTTTTTTTTTTAATTTGGAGTGTCTGAAATGATTGAACGGGGGAATAGCTCATACCCTTTCTCCATAGGGAAAAATCGAAAAATCCAATATTATATTCCAAACACAAATGAGGATTTTGTTTCAAGTCTAAAATTTTTTATCAGAACATTTCCAAGTTTTTTTTTCTTAAAAACAGAGTTTTAGGAATACAAAACTAGAAACGAATGTTTTCTTTAGGGTCTCAAGCAGATTTACTTTTATTTTCATTGCTTTTTTGGAATATTTCTGTCGAGTTTCGCAAGTTTTGTTAAAGCTTTTGTGATGGGAAAATGGAATTTCTATATTCGAAAGTTTCTAAATTGGACAATTTCGAGTTTCCAAAATTTTGAAAATCGGAGTATCCCAAGATTCCGAAATTCCAAAATTTTCGAAATCGGATAATTCCAAACTTCCGAAATTTTGAATATCAGCATTTTCGACATTCCGAAAATTTTCGAAAAAGACATTACCGAATCTTAGTCGTTTCACGTCACATCAATATTGCTGATTTTATCTACAGTAACATTTTATTCACTCTTAATTTTCATAAACCCTGATTTTTACCACAAAAAAAACAAAAAAACCTGAAAACGTTGAGCAAAGTTTGAGAATGCTCAAGTTTCCGGAAATAAATACATGATATAACATTGTCAAAAACATATTCACCATGTTTTATCATGACGAATTTGTTGAATTTGGTTAACAGAATGAAAAGAAAACCTCTCAAGTTTTGGATATCTCTCTTTTTAGGATAACTCACAAATTCAGATATTCAGCTTTGACCTAATTGGTTTATTCTTAGATGAAATCGAAACTCTTTAGCAAAAATAAGCAAAAAAGATGGTTCATATTTCTGCTCATATCTTCATTTCCCCCTCCAATGAAATAAATCAGTTCCGTTTCCGTTTGATTCATAAAGTTTAATAATAAAAAAATTGTATTGCCCCACCGCAGCTTCCGATTCGAGTTTCCTATTCAAACCACCGTTTTTATTTCCAACAATTTTCATTTCGAATCGCCGGGAACAGAAAAAGTGAAAACGATTTCCCCACCATTCGGTGTTCTTCAGAGCAGAATAAACAAAAAAGGAAGGAGGGCAGTCCCGTCCACAGCTTCCACGTTTCACTTTTTCCCATATTCCGTTTTTTTTTCCAGTTAAAACACTGTATTTCCGTTGGCTTGTAGCTGGTTTGTTTTAAACATGAAAAAAGTTAAATTGAATGACACGTGGCATCTCATCAATCCCACTATGCGTGTCGGTGCTGTGTGAATAAAATGATCGTTATTTATTATGTATGTACATACGGCAGCAGCAGCAACAGAAAAAAAAATACCGAGTAGGTGCTGCACAAAAAAACCGGCTCTTTCATTCCACACGTCCTTCCTGTCTAACTTGAGTTTTGTGTACGGTCTCATGCTCTCATTTTTTGTGTTTGTTTGTGTGCTCATTTTCGGTTTATGTCTCCCAGAGCATTGGGTGCAAGATTTTCTTACCAAAGGAACTTTTTAACCACAGGAAGATAACGTAATTCCTTGTGACCCCAGATTCTGAGGAAAAATTCGGGAGAAGTCAAAAATAACTTATTTATACACTTCGAAATTTTGGGGTCCGCTCAGCCAAGTTATATTAGTTTCAGTACCTAAAATTGCTTTTTCATTACGCAAAAGCGATTGTTGAAGACAATTTTCTCAACTTGTAGGACGTCTCAAAACAATTTGTCATTTTATATTTTAAATTACATCAAATTTTATGTTGAAACCGTATTTTCAAAAAGATGCGATTTTTAGATTCGGAAAATTTCAGAAATGTTTACAGACTATTCAGACTATTTAGAATTTTTTAAAAACTATTTTTAACCTATCCTGAAAATTTCATCAAAATCTGGGTTTCAAGATGTTGAGGTTCCTTTTTAAAGGAAACCTCATTTATTTATTCGGTTTTAAGTGAGAGCGTCTCTTGTTTTTTTTTTCAAAAGCATTTCTGGAAAAAAAAACATTGAAAGTCTGTTTTTGTCTCTGTCCCTGTTGCTCTATGTTTGAGAGAAAGTCACAAATAAGGAAAAGTGGTCGAAAGGACCCATTTGTATTCTTCAAAGATTGCTTGAAAGGAATACAAATGTTTTGGAGTACCAAAGCCATCTTCGCCTAGTCTAGTCATCATCACTCATATTCTTTCCTTTTACTGAATTTATTTCTGCTCAAATATTCTAATCAAGCTCCTTGCCACCTAGTTCTTCCGTTTCTGACCCAACTAGGAGGTCTTTCGCTTCTCTAACACTCTTCTCTATAATTTTATCACTGATAAATGTTGAATATTCAATGTTGCTTTTTAAATAAGGAACGTAGGATGTATGAATACAGATGGCCTGGCACGTATTTACATATCAACACAACACATTTGTTTATTTGTCCGCCATTATCAATCAGAACCCCTCCCCTCTCAACCCTACACTTTCCCTCATTTTGTTGTTATCAGTAAAAGAGCCCCAATAGGTACTATCACATGTTTTGGCTACCATCTCTTACCACAAAATCTGTAGTTCGTTACACCTTTCTCATGTTCCTCTTCTCCTGTGATTTTGTTACAGTTGTGACTGAATGTGGTCGATTTTGGCTCCTCGGCTTGGAAAGAGAAAATCGGGAATATTATTTTTCTATTGTTGCTTTCCCACGAATCATATGACGAAAGCATTCACACCTCATCTATGATCACTTGATATTTGAAATTTGTAAACATTTTGTAAAAATTTTTACTTCCTGTCTTTTTTTAACAGTAACCATATTCCAGATAAAAATATTCTAGAATGAACAGGTTCCAAATTTATAGGACAAGTTTACCATTATCCTCAGGATCAAAAACCTCCATCTCACCCCCTACCAATTTCTTTTAGTGATTGAGAGAATGAATCTAATCAAATTTAGACGGCTGACAGCGCTCAGTGTTAGTGTTTTGACTCTTGTTGTGACTCCCGCTACCACGTTTTCACTCCCGTCGCTTTTTTTTGTCACTCGTTTGTCTGTTGCTTTTTTTCTGCCTTTCTTCTTTTTCTATTCAGTCAGTTTTTCCTTTTTTTTCTCATCATGGGAAGAAACGCGGAATTTTCTCCACTCAAAATCCTACATGGTTACAAGCTTTTGGGTCTCCTCGACTTATTTCATATTCCAGCTGGCTTTTTCTGTTGTCATGCGGGACGGCTAGGGTCCTAGATCTTTGAGACTGGATGCTATTTATTTTAGGTAGCCAGAATGTGATTTCGTTGGTTATTCAACAATCGGAAATGTGGGATCAGGGTGATTAAAGACGTTTTAACTTTTAAGGTATTTAAAAATTCTGAATTCTGATACTGTAATTCATTCATCTGTTGTTTTAATTTCTAGAGTTGAAGAACCTTCTATTTTGAGTTTTCAATCACATTTCCTTCGAATATCATCAAAACTTGTTTTGATAATAATTTTGAAATTCGATGTTAATTTTGAAATTTGACAATAATTTAGAAATTCGAAAATATTTTTGAAGTTAACAGTCTGAACGATTTTAAATCGAAAATTTAGCAATTTTGTGAGACATCTAAAAATCTGTCAGAAAATTTTTTGTCTTGTAAGAGTACAAGAAGACCTCAGAGGCTTTAGAACAGCTCAAATATCGTAAAATGCTTTTTTTCTAAGCTTCTGGACTTTTTTCTCTGCTCAAACTGCTTTTGAAACTTTAAAAAAATTTGTTACCGTAACTTGGTTAGTCTGTTAGAGTACCACATTAACCATCAATTTTGAAACAATATATCTTATTTCCTGTATAAGAAATCAAGAATTTATCAACGGATAACACTTTAGTCATAACATCACCAACATTTTATCAGTTGACAGAGTTTCAATATCATTTATAGAAATTGGAATAATTGTGCTCAAACTAATAGACTTTTAAAAATAGTTTACGATGTTTTGCTCATATTACAGTATTGCTAATTTTCTTCCACAAAGTTTTTCCCCAGAAGTAAAGATATTTTTGTATTTGACTGCCGTAGTCGGACTTGTAGCTGTTTACGAGAACTACATTCGCAGTGTCCATAATTTACATCTTATTTAATCTTATGATTTGTACTACCAAGATGTATAAAATCCAAAAGTACTTCAGATCTTTCTTTCACTTGCTCTTTTTCACTTCTTCCTCCATTTCCAAACTCCTTCATTTTTCCCTCGACATCACTTTTCCAACCAAACCCCCATGTTTCGAACCACCACATCTAAAATGGAATTTCTCTCGTAACGTATAATTATTAGGTCCCTTTCCATCTCTCGGAGTGGCGTCACGCTCTTGCCATGTCCATCTTTTTCTTTTTATTCTTTTCCTTTTCTTCCACCTCCCACTATTTTTTTTCTTATTTCGGCCGTTTGTTTTCAAGTCTCGGCACTTATTTCTCGCTTCATACTCTTCCTGCCCTTTCTTCGTTTTTTTTCTTGAACTCACGACTTCCGGAAGAAATTGAGGCTCTCGAGAATCGACTTCAAAATTTTTTCTCTTCCGTTCTCAAATCGCATTAGTCTTTACTAAATCAGGGTTCTTCATCCGACAAAAAGCAGGCGGAAACCTCCCATTTTTCTCCAGATTACGTCATTTTCTCTCACAGTAGCTTTAAAATCCTGATAATGTTGCTTTCTTTCAGGGTTCAACCGGGTCTATGTCAGATTGCGCTGCACAATGTACCAAAACAATTTCAAAGAATTCGCTCGTTCTGGCAGTGCTTGTAAGTTCATAATTATTTTTACTACAGTAACCCAATTGGAATTTTCAGCTAGTCGAGACCGTGGTGATAATCCTGTCTCTCGTATTCACTATTCTGAACTTATTCAACTCTGATGAGAGCGGCTACAAATCATATCATCCCGATTTGTCTGAAATCGTTGGATACAGTCTGCTACAGCCTATTTTTGTTTATCAGGTATGGATTTTTTTTTGTAAATCCAAACTTTCTCAAAAAGTATACATCTGTGTTAGTTTCAATGCCAGCATCTGGTGTTATGTTGATTCAATATGATTTTTCCCGCCAGCTGTCTCAATATGGCAGCAAAATTAATGTGAAATGAGGGAAGGATACCATCAGATATATTCTCCTCATCCTTTCCTTTTTCTCATGTCATCATCATCATCCATTCCGCCTTCCCCCCACACATGGTGTCGTTTCCCGCAATATTTTGAAATCGGACACTGGGAAATCGGAGATATTTTGGCGCCCCTGCGCGCGACACTGGTCACCAATACTATATACCAGTTCTCATTTTTTAGTGTTTTTTGTGGTGTCGGTGTATCAAAAATCTGTGAGGGATGTCATGATGGTGTTTGAAGCTCGTTTTTTTGTTGGCGTGACCAAGTGTTACACAATGAAAAGTCATCTAGACAAGGGAACAGAGGGCAGAAGACTTGAGAGTGAGGACAAGTGAGTAATCTACACAGACTAAAAGTTCATGTTGGGTTTGGTATATTAGGTTGGCGGGAAAGTCTTTGTCACTCTGTTTGTTTAATCACTGTTCTCGTATATGGAGGCTGTGTATGATATCGACTTTAGTGAATAACAAGGTGATAAGAACCTTCCATATAAACAAGTCCCCATCTCCTTCCCTGCTCCTCATCTGTAATTGAAACGATATGTTTGTTCCCACTGCTATTCACATCAGACATGTTTTGATTTACCTCTTCCTATCTCACACCACGATGAAGGATTCGGAAACTTTCTTGAAGAATGTGTACAACACACATGCCCCTCACTACAATACTATTCGCAATTGGTTCCATCGTTTCGAAAAAGATGACTTCTCGCTCGATGAAAAGGATCGCTCTTGGAGACCCCGTGAGTTGGATTTGGACAAGCTGAAGCACGCATTGCAATCGGATCCATTTCAATCTAGCCGTGAACTAGCTGTCACATTCGGAGTTCACCATAGCACAGTCCTTGAAGGTTTGAAGTCTCTTGGAATGAGAAAACTTTTTGGTCGATTCATACCTCATCACCTGACTCAAGCCAACCTTGACCGCCGAGTCGACGATTCGATTACTCTTCTCACTCTCCACGCGGGCGATCGATGGCTGGACCGGCTAATAACCGGAGATGAGAAGTGGGTCTTCTACGATAATCACCACAGGAAATCCCAGTGGGTTGGAGAAGGAGAGAGCCCACAGGATGTCCCCAAACCCGACCTTCATCCGAAAAAAGTTATGCTCTCTGTGTGGTGGGGAGTGGACGGCCCCATCTACTGGGAACTTCTGCCCGAGGGCAAAACAATAACTGGAGACCTCTACACTACTCAACTACGAAACCTCAAGAAAGCAGTCGACCGTTCGGCCCTGAAAGACAAGAAAGTGTACTATCAACATGATAACGCTCGCCCACATGTTTCGAAACAAGTGAAGCAGGAGCTGATGGGATATGGATGGAATGTTCTCCCTCACCCCCCGTATTCTCCTGATCTTGCTCCTTCCGACTATTGGTTATTTGGCGATATGACACGTGCCTTCGAAGGAAGAAGCTTCAATTCCCGTGGAGCGGTCGAAGCGGCACTCAAACAATACTTTGCCTCACGCCCGGCTGGATTCTACCGCAATGGAATCCATAAATTGAGGGAACGTTGGAGACATGTTGTTGATAATGATGGACAATATAATTAATTATTCGGTTATTTTTTCTTTGAGAAATAAACTATTGAAAAAGTGACAAAGACTTTCCCGCCAACCTAATATGTAGCTAAATAGTACAAAGAAATAAAACGTTGGAGTAGTACGAGCAGCAAAATTAATATAAAAAAGGAAAAATAACTAGGGAGGTACAAACATTTTGGGGTCATTGGGGGTATAAAGCGATTCAAGGGTACAAAATCCTCAATTCGTTGGTAAAAAAATATCTGAAAATTTAGGATTTATTTTTTTTTCGAACAATGGGTTTTGGAACCCTAAATCACATTGTACCCTTTTCCACCGCCGAATCGTTGTTCCCGTCATATTATGTTCAAAAGAAACATTATTCAGGCTGAATGAAAAAACAGGGAATAATTCATTAAAATAGTGAGTATTCCTGTGAACTGTCTTTTGCAAATTACTTCTCGAAAATTTTCTTCAAAAATTCTCATCCTAATATACAGTACCGGTCAATTATAATACGAAACACGTTATTCTCTGTTGATTTTAGCCACTTTTACGATTTTCAGGAGTCATGGGCTCGGCTGTCAACTTTCCGCTCACTTTGAAAATATTGGACAGTGTGAAGCAGACCTAGATTAAAAACTTTTTTTTACAGAATTCCCAAAAATTTTTCAGTTTCTGGAGACTTCACTTTTCAACCCATTTTTGCACTGAAAACGTGAAACATGAAGATTTTCTTCAAAAATCGGCAAATATAGGAAAACTAAAAGTTTTCAAAAAAAAAACTGGGAATGTGAAGTTTTTAATCTAAATGTGTTGTACATTTTTTAAACTTTCAACTTGATCGGAAACTTGGCAGCCGAACTTTAACCGGTAATGTCAATCGGAAAGTGCTGATATCTTGAAGTTTTGATGAACACCAAAGATATAATTGATATTTAATTTAACACTAATGATTTCAATTTTTAGATCCTCTGGCTCGCTTCCAACATTGTGTCAGTGATCAGTCTCCACATTCAAAAACCCTACATTTTCTTCTTCACCTTGATAGTACCAATTATCGGACTCACATTATGCGTAATCCTTCTTGTGCCATCAGGTACCAAAGCCCATAATACAAATTACTAACTCTCAATTTTTCAGTCAACCATCTGGTTTCCCACCATTTTGATGTCAGCGGGTTCTTCATGGGATTTGTTTGTGCTCTTGCCGTTTTTGTGATCGCTTTCATTTTATTCACTATTGCGAAAATTTCAACTTTCCGGAAAATGGTAAAAAATATGAAGGTAACAAACTTTACATATCCACCAGGTTACTAAAAAGTTAAACTTCATAGGTTGTCCAAACAACTGCCGAAAAGTCTCCAGAAGATCCTCAATCAGAAGCACCGGAACCAGAGCCAACTCGAGTAAAGGATCCGGATGAAATCAGCGTTTCGTTTAGTCGTCGATCAACAATGAGCATGAATGACGAACGTTTTGTCCCGCCACCTCGTCGTTAATTTCAAAGTGTCCATATTTTTCCAATATCTCGATCTCTCTGTGAACTGGACAACTGTATTTTCTTCTCTCCGTTTTGTTAACAGGTTCTTGAAAATTATCTAAATGACAGCTCTTACCGTTTCAAATGACCGGATAACGCTTTAATTCTTATTCGTCTCTCTGAAAAATGACATTTTGCAAAATTTCAAAATAAAGTGTTTCTTTCTGCCCCTTATCTAAATGACTTTTGTGTTCTATGCAATGAACGTAGACTGGTTGTTACAACGATTTACGTGAAAGAAGGAAAAGAAGTCTACGTTGGAATAAAAGAATGAGTGAAGTGAAAATTACAGCGGTTTTTGGACGCAACGTCATTTTGTTAAAAAGGATACCAGGAAGTGAAAAATTCCATATAATAGTATTGCACTCATTGCTATTTTGAAAATTCATAATAATATCAGGAGTGGTTTCAACAATGTTGGTAACAAACTGAAAAAAACGCAATCATGCTTGAATTTGCCGGATACTCCGAGTTTCTCAAGTTCATGGTTTGAAAAAAAATCTTGGGAAAGTCTTGACTAACCCAAAACCAAAAACTGTCTATTATCTGATGATTAATGGTTGTTGGGCCCGATCTATTACAGTATGATGTCTTGATCAGCGATCCATAAACAATGTAGAAAAGTACAAATAGTAAAGCTGCGTTGCCTAAATTTTAAATTTGAACGACTTTATCTCCATAAATGTGAAAGATATGAGAAATTTGTCCACTGATAAATTGTTTATCGTAATATCAGAAGCGTTTCATTTGTTTTAACATTTCTAATTTCTTGCATAGAAACTGAGGTAAATGAGCTCAAAGTTGAGAATGTGGGCCCTCTTCTGTTGAAACTAGCAAAACGGTCCCATACCAAACTATATAACAACTTCCGTTTACATGAAATTATTGTAGAACCAGTACAAAAACAAATTCTCAGGAGCTCTTATGTATCAGTGTAATTCAGTCGAAGAAAACTCTACTTTCCAAGCATTTTTTCTCAAACTTTAATACGAAAATTATGATTTATTCTTTGTGGAACATTGAAAAAAAATTGTTAAAATTTCATACTCTATGTTATTAAGGTGCTCTAATAATTCTAGGCCCTTGCATCAGAGCTACATTGGATTGAAATAGTCTTTCTAAATTTAAACGTTTTTTTCAATTTATCACATTGGAAGTCTTCACAGCTACATGCTCAAAAAGACACAAAATTTAAAAAATGGAACTTTCGTGGAAAAAAAAAATCATCGCGCCACTTTCACAGTTGTCACGGAATTTACCAAAACATTTTTACAGAGGTCCGTGAAAATTACATAATGCTGAAAAACTTATGAGTTCCGAAAAATCCGTGAATATAAATCCCAACCCTTCTCCTAATACAAGTTTTCAAAGACTCCTGTTTCAAACAACGGAAGCAAACCCTTTTTACTCTTCATTCTCCAACAAAATACTATTTTATGGTTTCATTACTCAAAAGTTGTTACTCTGTTTACAAGTATAACCTGTGCTATGAGCCCTCTTAGATCAAGTTCGATGAGGAAATGAATTACATTTTTCTATTCTTTTTCAAGGTGTAAAAGCCCATAAAAATCCAGTTCCTTTTTTCTCTTCAACCGTTCGTTACTAAATGTTCGGAATGGTATAAAAGAAGCGATTCGGAATGACATGTCTGCTACAGTAACTTCCGCGTTTTTGCCTTAACCTTTCCTCTTTTTTTTCATTTCAAGTGTGATCTAATCTGCATCGAGGTACCTATCCCTCTTTCAACTTTTCAAACCAGATTGCTATCAGGGTTTACCTTTCATACGGACCCAAGGTCGTCACCGGAGACTCCGCTTAAAAGGAAGCGAGTTGCATTTGAAAATGGCACATATGCATTGGGAAGAAACTCTTCATTTTTTGTCTCATTTGTTGCCGTGTCCGTGTTCTGCCCAAGGCGAACAATTGTCTGGCAAGAGATAAGAAAGGATATTCGAAAAAAAAGCCAGTTCTCCCCTGAAGCCTCTGTCCAAAAAGACTGCGTAACTCAATTAAGTTTCGGTTTTCCTTTTCTCCCTCGTTTTTTTCTTCGCGTTGCTGTTACGACTGTAGCTTAATGTTACAAATCAGACAACGTCTGTTTTACCTGTGTCCTCCTCTTGTGTCGCCTTGAGAAAATTTTGTTTAAATACGCGAAGGTTTTTCATTGTCTCCCTTCCTTTTGCAGAAGCCAGAATACAACAGTCATGAAGCTTCTTCTTGTGCTTGCCATCTCCGCCGCCACCGTCTTCGCTGCCTACGACGACCTGCCAAAGCCAGCCGATCCATATGAGCCACCAGGTTACGAGCCAGAGCCAGATAAGGTATTATACTCAAAGGGATTTACAATCATTTGACCGTTAATTTTCAGCCATGCCCAGACAAGTACGTCAAGATCATCAACGATCTTCGTGCCGAGCTTGGAAAGGACGTCTCCAGCATCAAGTTCACCAACACCTTGGGATCCCGCGTCCAGAAGGCTTTCGGATCTGCTCATGAGGTTATGATGGCTCCAAGTGCTCCAACCCTCAAGACCAACTTTAATGGAACCATCTGCCGTCAAGCTGCCGATGACGGAAACCACTACGTTGTCTACCCATCTCCAGGACAGGTAAATTTATTATGAAACTTGATTGTAGGATATTTCTAATCGTTTTGTCATCTGCAACTAGAAAGTAGGAAACAGTAGGGACGGCAGAGAAATCCTAGCCAAAGCTGAAGATAGCATCATCCAGGAATTCGGATTCTGATTCGGAGAATTTAATTTTGCGCGTAGTTTGTAGCATAAATCACACGTAGACCATAAATCTAGTGTCTCTATTTTCAACACATCATGTTTAAAGTGATGATCAGGACAGAACTTCAGTTCCTTGTTCACAAAGATCAATTACAAATAAGCTTCTCCAATCTCAACTAAATTTTTCCAGTACGACCTCAACAACCTCGCCCAGGAAGAGTACTTCGAGAAGTTCGCCGAGTTCGCCGCTCTTGGAAAGAACGCCAACATCGCCGACCTTCCAAAGGATCCACGCTCCATCTAAACCTATTTAATCAAAATCTTCAAGATCTTCACCAACGATACTGAATTCTCTTTTTTGTTTTCCACCTAAACGTTTGCAATTTCACACGTTACCATGTTACCGTTGATGTTTATCTTTCTGTAAATAAAGTTTGCATTCCACAAAAATGTTGAGTTGGGGGAACAAGACAGAATAACAAGTCGCGCAAACAACCTCGAAGTTTCGGAATTTTCGAGATCTTATCTTGCTCATCCACTTTGTCGGTATTTTCCTATACCATTTCAGACGATGAGACGACCTTGGTTAAACTTCGTTATCGTTAGATTTCAATCTAGTTTCGCATCTAAAATAGAAATGAGAGCGAGAAAGAGAGAGCGGTACTGTTTGAGGTACACAGTATTCCAAAAAGAGGCAAAAACTTGGAAGAAGGCACATAACATCATGACCATTTGAGAGTAAGAAAAGAGAGAAAAAAGAGAGGGAGATGGCTAGTTACAGTGAACAAAAAACTCTTATCGAGCACCGATCTTAGCGAGGTCATCTTTTGAAGTTGAGTATAAAAGGGGTGCCTGAAGACGGGAAGAATGAGTGTTCAGCAGCCATGAAGTTCCTTCTCGTTCTCATCGGATGCATCTTCGTCGCCATTCAAGGTATGTCTGGAATACTTGATTTCGTTTCTGTATTTAGAAAATTTATTTTTCTTTAGAAAAGCCATTATTGCAAGCTCAATTTTTCTGAATTTCAGGCCAGGGTGACACCTGCCCATCGTGGAAGGATCGTCAACATGCCAAGCCAGGAAAGCTTTTCTGCTGTGACAGCACCATCAAGACTGTTGTTGAGACTGGAATGAAGACTTTGGATCTCTTCGGAGCTGGAGGACCACAAACCCTCGGACCAATTGTCCAATCGCTTAGCAGCTTCATCCAGCGTCATTTCAAAGTTGCCTATGAAGTCGTCATGGCTCCAAAGGAGTTTGTCTTGAACACCAACTACAATGGAACCAAACTTTGCAAGTTCCAATCCAACAGCTACACTTTGGCTGTCTATGAGACTCCAGAATACGTGAGTTTCATAATAGAAACATTAGGAAAAGAATTTTTTCTGATTACAGTATGACATCAACGGACCTGGAGAGGCATATTTCTACAACTTCGCCGCCAACGACAAACTCAACATTCCATCCGTCTCGGAGCATCTGAAATCGTTCGGTGGACTTGCCAACTCCGCATCTGGTGGTCTCACTGGATCCGCCAGCTCTTTGGCTGGAAGCCTTGGAGGATGGGGACGTTAAGGTCGTAAATGAGAATGTGTCGAGAGAGAACTACGGAGCGGCTGCTTACATCTAAAATATAAAAATTCAAAAAAAAGTACGAAACGTGGGGGCGCGGTTCGTCAAAAAAAAAATTAACAATTGTATAATTTCCAATATCTGAATAAAGCATTCCAAAAATCCAATTGGTATTTGTTGTCTTATGTCATTTTACAGGATTTTCAGGCACAAAACATAGAAAACGGATCCACACTTTCTTAAAATCTGGAAACATTGTTAGTCAAGAGTATCATTACGAGGAGTCACAAATGAGCTGATTTATGGAGCGACATCAACAGTATTGCAACTGGAGCAATTTAAAAAATATCTGAAATTACACAAATTTTTATTTCACCCAAAGCAATATGGAGCCTCTTGTTGAATTTTCGCTAAATCGCACATTTCTTTTTACCAAGTTTTCGAGTTATACGAGATCATTTTACACGGGAACCCCTTGTGAACCCAGAGTTTTTTGAAATTCGAAAAATCTCGGGCCTTGAAAATCTCCGTTTTTGTCGAGTTCTGATTTTCCAAGTATGATAATAATATTCCTCCAAAGAATCGAAGTTTTTTTAGATTTTTCTTAAAGTGATTATCAGACCATTTTGTAGCAGGAAAGTACATATGTATAATCAGAATACCGTAAAACCTCTAATAGAACGACACACGGATCGTCCACTTTGAGCCTATATATCTCATTTCTTTTGAAAGATATCAAAAAGTGGTTAACTAGTAA